AAATAGTCCGCATACACATTCAGGACAAATCATTTGCAAAACATTTTAATCCGTAACTATCGGTCCATACACTTACCACCTAGACATCGGTGGTGTCACACAACAAACTATCTTATACTTTACACGACAGAAAGATAAGCAACAGAATTTTGGCAGCCCAAACCCACCAGTGTCAATATTTTCTTATTTCCTGGACAACCAATGTCCCTGGACATCCAATGTCCTTAAAGAACTTCCCAAAAGTACATATACATTATTTTCTGGACATCCAATGTCCTCAAAGTACTTCCCAAAAGTACATACACATTTTTCTGGACATCCAATGTCCTTAAAGTACTTGCCAAAAGTACATACACATTTTCTGGACATCCAATGTCCTTAAAGTACTTGCCAAAAGTACATACACATTTTCTGCACATTCAATGTCCTTAAAGTACTTCCCAAAAGTACGTATTGCCGGTCGGCAATCTTTTACACTATACCCTTTCATTAAAACATACTTCCAAAGTATGTGGGCATCGGAACTCAGCCAGAGCCTAGTCACGGTAAATATCATAAAAATATAAATCAAATACTTACCGGATAGGATGACTCTCCGATCCTGGGACGAGCCCCCAATCTGAAAGGGATTTGTGCCTCTAATGACCACTGGTAGGTTCCGCCCCCCGTTGGGCCCAAGAGACTGTTCTCTGCAAGAAAGAAATCCACACATGCACACCAGCTTCCAAAGAACAGTCTAATCTTTATTCATAATATTCCTCCTTTATATATGATAAATTGTAACAGAGATTCATAGAATAGAATTTTACTGGATACTTGGCAAGGCTGTGTACGTGAACAAATTTAGGCTTCTCAAACCTTGAATCGGTTACAAGTAACCAACAGTTATTTTCCCATGGGACAGAAGTAATTGACTTTTAACTATATCATAGCAGAAACAGATGCTGTTAGTACAAAGAAATAACTGGATACTTTCCCTGCCTCTACCAAGGCTAAGCTAAGATAAAAAACAAAAGAATGTGTGAGCACAGTTCTGTAACACATAACTGACACAGCATATTTTCATTAACTCATTCTGGGTATAATATAAAGCAATTAATCAACATGGAGTACAAAATATAAAATGGAGGGGGAAAACAAAATGACAGACAAAAAGGACATACATTTCCCTTCATCATTGCCTTGTTTTGTGAGCTTCTTCACTGAAAAAAGATTAGTTTCAAAGGCAGGGACATACAGGACACTTACATAGGGTGTCTTTCAAAAAACATCTTAGAAAAAAATCACCACAGCTAATTGGTAAATAATGGAATCAGAGGAAATGGGAGATGGTTTTCTAAACTGTTTTGTTTTACTCTGGTCAAAGTGAATAAAGAAATTTGTGTCATTTGTCATGTGACTCATAGCTACTGAATCAACAAACCATGCATGCAAAGATGAGCTGCAACTTTTGGATTAGAAAACATATTCATTATCTGAAGAAACAACAGACTCTTCCTTCACACTTTTGATCTTTTGTAGTTTAGTTTGTTTTTGCATTCTAGCTTTCCAGATTTTGCAATCTACTTTGAAATAGGCCTAGTTTCTTGCACACAAAGCATTTACTTGTTTCTTGTTGCAAGTTACTGTTTTTATTCCTATTTTTGGTCTTTAACCACTGTAAGATCGCCCGTCTGCAATGTACTGCAGCGGGTCACAGCTACAGGACCAGCGACGTACCCGTATGTCGCTGGTGCTTTACCAACACAGAGGGGGAGCTGCACGCCCTAGCAAATCTTCCTCCTCCACAGTGGAATGAGAATGCTGGTTCAGGACCTAGTGATCTGGTGATTGCTATGTGATCACAATAACAACAAAGCTTTTATGAATTAACCACTTGTCCTCCTGAGGATTTACCCCCCTTCCTGACCATGCCTTTTTTGCTGTTCGGTGCTGCACTATTTCAACTGATAATTGCGAGGTCATGCAATGCTGTACCCAAATTAAATTTAAATTTAATTTTTTTTCACATAAATAGAGCTTTCTTTTGGTGGAATTTTATCACCTGTGCACTTTTTATGCTTTGCGCTATACACAAAAAAAGACAAAAAATTTTGAAAAAAAAACACTATTTTTGTTTTTATGACTAACGCAAAGTTAGTCATAAATTTAAACATGTATTCTGCTACATATTTTTGTTAAAAAAAATCTCAATAAATGTATATTGATTGCTGTGTGTGAAAGTTATAGCATCTACAATCTATGGTATAGATACTGCAATTTACTCCATTATTTGCTGTACAGCTCTGCAATAATTTAACTGACAATTGCACGCGGTCATGCAATACGGTACATAAATTAAATTTATGTCCTTTTTTTCACACAAATAGAGCTTTCTTTAGGTGGCATTTAATCACCTGTGCGCTTTTTATTTTTCGCACTATAAACAAAAAAAATACCGAAAATTTTGAAAAAAAAAAAACAATATTTTTTATTTTTGGCTATCAAAAATATATAGTAAACTCAAAGTTAGTCATAAATTTAGGCCAAAATGTATTCTGCTACATGTTTTTGGTAAAAAAAATCCCAATAAGTATATATTGATTGCTTTGTGTGAAAGTTCTAGCGTCTACAAACTATGGTATAGATAATGGAATTTATTTCATTTTTTGCACTAGTTTAACTGACAATTGCGAGGTCATGCAAAGCTGTGCCCAAACAAAATTTATGTCCTTTCTTTCACACAAATAGAGCTTTCTTTCAGTGGTATTTGATCACCTGTGTGCTTTATATTTTTTGCGCTATAAACAAAAAAAATCACAAAAATGTTGAAAACAAACTATATTTTCTCCTTTCTGTCATAAAAAAATATTTAAAAAACTCGAATTTCGTTATAAATTTAGGCCAAAATGTATTCTGCTACATGTTTTTGGTAAAAAAATCCCAATAAGTGTATATTGATTGCTTTGTGTGAAAGTTAGTGCATCTACAAACTATGGTATAGATAATTTGAAATTTCAACAGCTTTTACTTTCTGACTGCCTATCACATTTCTTGAGGTGCTAAAATACCAGGATAGTATAAACACCCCAAAATGACCCCTTTTCCGAAAGTAGACACCCTAAGCTATTTGCTGAGAGGCATATTGACTCCATGGACGATTTTATTTTTTTCCACAAGTTTTTGGAAAATGACAAAAACAGTTTTTGTTTTTGTTTTTTTTTACACAAAGTTGTCACTTAAATGATATATTGCTCACAAAAGCCATGGGTATATGTGGAATTAAACCCCAAACTACATTCTGCTACTTTTACTGAGTATGGGGATACCACATGTGTGAGACTTTTTTGGGAGCCTAGCCACATACAGGAGCCTGAAATCCAATGACCACTTTGAAAGCCTGAAGGTGCGTAACTTCCTCATTTCACTTCCTCACTACCTATCAAAGTTTCGGAGGCCCTGAAATGCCAGGATAGCACCAAACACCCCCAGTCCCCAAATGACCCCTTTTTGGAAAGTAGACACTCCAAGGAATTTAAAAACAAACATGGTGAGTGTTTTGCAGATCACATGTGGTACCCCCCCCCCTACTCAGGAGAAGTAGCAGAATGTATTTTGGGGAGTAATGCTGTAAGCCGTGTACCGGGGTGGGCTCCCCAGGATACAGTGAAGTCACGAACGAGGAAAGCAACCCCAACACCAGCTTTTGTCACAACAGAATTTTACTTAGATGTGGCAAATAAACAAAACCACAAATGCTGGAATATACAATAAATTTACATACACTCAGCCCAAAGGCTGAGACCCTTGTGCTGCACAGCACGGCACCTTCTGGTGGATGAAGGTAGAAAGTGTAGTAATTTACCTACTGGCGGGCACAACTAAGCTGCCACATCTTACCTGTTATTACCCTAAAAGAACAAGAATCAGTGTATGGAGGTATGGTATGGGCTAGCCTGCGGTGCAGCACAACAGCTTACAATCTTACACAAATCTACAGTATTCCCCCTCCCATAACTGGTCCTGTAGCACGCGTCTGAGTATTCCTTCTGAGCAAAACACCAGTCTGGCTTGAGTTTGTAGGATTTTATCAGTTCTCCAATGTGAAATGTCACTTTAAGTTGTGGAGTCCTTCCAATGATCAGTAACAACACTTGTGACCTGACACAGAGACTCTAACTAACTAACTATAGGCCTGTCTTAGTCCTATAGGCGCCAACACTGAAATGAGGTGCATGTACGATCTTACCGACCCGGGTCTGCTTTGCATCCGCTGGTGACTCTGAACAGAACAACTGTCTCTCCACTAAGCATGCAATATCACAGTATATAGATTGCTTAGTTCCTCAGCTTCCCATCAGCTTCCTGGAAGCAATCTTCCTTTCTTTGAACAGGGTTAGCGGAGGGCTGTCCTCACATCTGGATGTCATAGGATTCTCAGATCACACAGCCCCCTTTCTCTCTCTCAAGCATGGCTGCTCTCATCTCCTTTTCCTGTTCACTCTCCAAGTGTAAAACCCCACCTCTTCATGAATATAGAAATCTCTATGCAGTCTGAGGCTGTGTTAGAAAAAACAGTGATATCTTGTGGCTAAACTGCAGAATGTCAGTCAGAACGTTTTTAATTTACTTCAATCAGTGTTCAATGAAAGCTGTTTCCCCATCTCACAATGCCACATATACCCATGGCATGTGTGAGCAATAAATTATTTAAATGACAATTTTTTGTAAAACATTTTCTTTTTTTGTCATTTTCCAAAAACTTGTGGTTAAAAAATTAATTCTTCTATTGATTCAACATGCCTCTCAGCAAATAGTTTAGGGTGTCTACTTTCCAAAAAGAGGTCATTTTGGGGGGTGGGGGCATTTTATGCCCAGCATTAGAAGTAGAGATGAGCGAATTATATTCAAAAATTCGATTCGACTGATTCGGCGAATTCGTGAAAAAATTTCGATTCGAGTCGAATATATTCGCTGCGAATTTAACTTATAAAAGGGTGTTTCTAGGCTTCAGAGAGCCTTTATATTAGTGCAGAACACTGTACCTTTAATTTAAATGCCCTTGGAGTCTGCTGGGGAAGAGAAATAATACTGTCAGTCAGTATGACATGCAGATGAGTGCCGTCGATCTTAGAATCACCGCACACTTCACTCATTTGGGCAGTCACGGGGCCAAAACCACAGTGTGGAGCCACAGTGTGTGGCGGTGGAGGCAGCAGCAATGGGAGGCCATACAGCACCCTATGACAAAATGGAACCCACCAGCAGTGTGAGGAGACCTGAAAGTGGCACATGGCAGAGTGTGGCGATGGAGACAGCAGCAATGGGAGGCCGTACAGGGACCCATGACACACTCTGGACCTGGCAGCAGCATGAGGAGGCGGTACAGGGGCCCATGACAGATTACGGGCCTGGCAGCAGCATGAGGAGTTGGTACGGGGGCCCATGGCAGATTACGGGCCTGGCAGCAGCAATGGGAGGCCGTACAGGGACCCATGACACACTCTGGACCTGGCAGCAGCATGAGGAGGCGGTACAGGGGCCCATGACAGATTACGGGCCTGGCAGCAGCATGAAGAGTTGGTACGGGGGCCCATGGCAGATTACGGGCCTGGCAGCAGCAATGGGAGGCCGTACAGGGACCCATGACACACTCTGGACCTGGCAGCAGCATGAGAGGGTACAGGGGCCCATGACAGATTACGGGCCTGGCAGCAGCATGAGGAGTCGGTACGGGGGCCCATGACACACTCTGGACCTGGCAGCAGCATGAGGAGGCGGTACAGGGGCGCATGACAGATTACGAGCCTGGCAGCAGCAACTTGGACAGGAGGATGTTCAGCTTCTGCACCGTCAGGGGCGTGCTCGCAAACTGTTGTCTCTTGGAAACGGATTCCAAGAAAGACTGCTGACGGAATCCGTGAAGAGGAGTAGCAGGAGAAGGAGCATCTGAACGAGCGGAATATGCCAACAAGCGACAACAGGGGCCCATGACAGATTACGGGCCTGGCAGCAGCATGAGGAGTCGGTACGGGGGGCCCATGGCAGATTACGGGCCTGGCAGCAGCAATGGGAGGCCCGTAATCTGCCAGCACCCTATGACCAAAAAATGGAACCCACCAGCAGTGTGAGGAGACCTGAAAGTGGCACATGGCAGAGTGTGGCGATGGAGACAGCAGCAATGGGAGGCCGTACAGGGACCCATGAGAGACTGTGGACCTGGCAGCAGCATGAGGAGGCGGTACTGGGGCCCATGGCAGATTACGGGCCTGGCAGCAGCAATGGGAGGCCCGTAATCTGCCAGCACCCTATGACAAAAAATGGAACCCACCAGCAGTGTGAGGAGACCTGAAAGTGGCACATGGCAGAGTGTGGCGATGGAGACAGCAGCAATGGGAGGCGGTACAGGGACCCATGAGACACTGTGGACCTGGCAGCAGCATGAGGAGGCGGTACAAGGGGCCCATGGCAGATTAAGGCCTGGCAGCAGCAATGGGAGGCCCGTAATCTGCCAGCACCCTATGACAAAAATGGAACCCTGGGCTGGGGCAGGCAGAACCGCCGTATCTTTATCAGTGGTTTTCCCAGGCCACCGAATGGAAGACACGCTGCATATGCTGACGCAACCTGTAGTCCCAACATGGGCCCCCTGGCCACGCTTGACTTTCTGGCCACATAGTCGACATACGGCTACGTTTACTTCCTCGGGCGGCTTGACGAAAAATTGCCACACACCGCCGAGTAGGAAACTTTGCCCCCGCTACTCCTCACTGGCTGACTGCTACATCCTCCGTGCATAACCGGCACCACTACTGGCCGTGGTGGTAGGCTGCAGTGGAGCTGGTGCTCTACTCCGTGGCCGTTTTGCCTCCACTGACAACTGCTGCGACCCTGCTGCCTCCTGGCAGCAGCAATGGGAGGCCGTACAGGGACCCATGACAGACTCTGGACCTGGCAGCAGCATGAGAGGCGGTACAGGGGCCCATGGCAGATTACGGGCCTGGCAGCAGCTATGGGAGGCCCGTAATCTGCCAGCACCCTATGACAAAAAATGGAACACACCAGCAGTGTGAGGAGAACCTGAAAGTGGCACATGGCAGAGTGTGGCGATGGGACAGCACAGCAATGGAGCCGTGGACCATAGACACTGTGGGCAGCAGCATGAGGAGGCGGTACAGGGCCCATGGCAGATTAGGGGGCCTGGCAGCAGCTATGGGAGGCCCGTAATCTGCCAGCACCCTATGACAAAAAAATGGAACACACCAGCAGTGTGAGAGGAGACTGAAAAGTGGAAAGAGTGTGGCACATGGAGACAGCAGCAATGAGACACTGTGGACCTGGCAGCAGCATGAGGAGAGGCGGTACAGGGGCCCATGGCAGATTAGGGGCCTGGCAGCAGCTATGGGGAGGCCCGTAATCTGCCAGCACCCTATAGACAAAAAATGAAACACACCAGCAGTGTGTTGAGGAGACCTGGAAAGTGGCACTGGCAGAGTGTGGCGATGCGAAACAGCAGCAATGGGAGGCCGTACAGGGGACCCATAGAAACACTGTGGACCTGCAGCAAGCATGTAGGAGCGGTATTGGGGCCCATGGCAGATTATAGGGCCTGGCAGCAGCAATGGGAGGCCCGTAATCTGCCAGCAAACCCTAATGACAAGAAAATGGAACACAACAGCATGGCAGGAGCCCTGAAAGTGACACTGGCATGAGACACAGTGGACCCTGGCAGCAGCATGATGAGCGCGCGTAAACAGGTGCCCATGGCAGATTAGGGCCCTGGCAGCACGCTATGGCGAGGCCCGTAATCTGCCAGCACCCCTATGACAAAAATTGGAGAACAACACCAGCAGTGTGTGATGAGACCTGAAAGTGGCACATGGCAGAGTGTCGATGGAGACAGCTAGCAATGGGAGGCCGTACAGGGACCCATGAGAGACTGCTGGACCTGGCAGCAGCATGGAGGAGCGGTATAGGGGCCCAATTGGCAGATTAAACGCGGTTCCTTGGCAGGCAAGCAATGGAGAGGAGCGCGTAATCTGCCCAGCCACCCAATGACAAAAAAATGGAACACAACAGCAGTTTTAGGAGACCTGAAAGTGGCACATGGCAGAAAGGGACCTGAGCGATGGGGGAAGGGGACAAAGGGGGGAGCAATGGGGGCCCCTACAGGACCCATAAAAAAAAAAACCTGGGGGGACCGGGGCCCAGGGGCAAAAAGGGGGAGCGGGGGGGACAGGGGGGCCCTG